GTAGTTGTTACACCAAAGAGGGTATTTGGCTTTCTTGTATCGTTGCTTTATGAACTTTTTAATGCATGCTTTCCTGTATGTAAAATTGAAAAAGTGCTCTTTAAAAAGTGGGTTGGAAAGAGAAATTGACATGCGTGGACAGACATTTTGTTATATTCGCAATTTGCTATCATAGAGGGTATAATATATATAAATAAATAGTCACCTAAAGTACTAGCTGGTATCAAAGGCGAGACGACTGGCATAGGTGCTGACGAAGATGCAGACACAGATGGTGTCAGCAGGTGATCCGGGTAGACACCGGAGTGACCGACGAGGCCAAAACAAGCCAACCAAGTGGTACGGATAAATCCATCGAGAAAAGCAGACATGGTGATCGAAGATGAAGAAGGAGTGAAGGGAAAGGCGATGTGGTGTAAAGGAGAAGCAGGTGATGAGTATTTGGATGAGGATATACAAGCCTGAAGAGTTGGACAAGAAAGAGGCGCTGAATTGGTTGCAATCGCTTCGGAAGCTTGAGAAGTGCTGCTCCATGGAGGTAACCAATCCGATAATATGGAGGAAATGGACACCTAGCAAGAAAGAGAGGAGGATTAAACGAATATTCCAGAATGAAAAGCAAAATATCTGTGACTAATACATGTTATAGCCTCCATGTAACCCGTTGCCCAACCAGATTAAAAAACAATACAATTAATAGGCATAATGACATAGATAAACATGCAATAATAAAAGAGAAAGGAAAAGAATATTGATAAATAGGTACAAAGAATAACCAATATTGGCAACTAATTAAGAGAATAAAGGATAAAGCCCACAAGTTCGATCAACTTAATCTTGTACTTTTTAGATATGAGAAATATTATGAGGATTAGACTTTTCAGTAAAACCATTGAGAGGTTCTAGACCAAAAAAGTTGTCCTACTCAAAGTGACTGGTGCTTTTCTTATTAAAAAATATTAATAAAAACCTGAGGTATTGCATAATCATAAAGGATATTCGGTAAAGGTATTAAAGAATGCTAAACAATAAAAAAGATATAGATGAACCAATTCTATCAAAAAAGTCTTAAGGAGTGATACGCGAACGAAAAGAAATAAGTAAAACGCTCGCTCATTAATGATGCCACATAAATGGATCTAGTAGTTTATTGATAAAGGAAAATACAAACAAAAACAAAAAATAAATGTATCTAAAAAGCAAGCTAATCCTATATTGA